GGACTGGGAGCACTGGGAATACTGGGAATGGGGGACTGGGGATACTGGGAATGGGGGGACTGGGGAACACTGGGGATACTGAGAATGGGGGAACTGGGAGCACTGGGAATACTGGGAATGGGGGGACTGGGAGCACTGGGGATACTGGGAATGGGGGAAATGGGAGCACTGGGGATACTGGGAATGGGGGGACTGGGGGGACTGGGAGCACTGGGGATGCTGGGAATGGGAGGACTGGGAGCACTGGGAATAGGGTACTGGGGATACTGGGAATGGGGGGACTGGGAACACTGGGGATACTGAGAATGGGGGAAATGGGTGCACTGGGGATACTGGGAATGGGGGGACTGGGAGCAGGAATGGGGGGCACTGGGAACGGGAGGACTGGGAGCACTGGGAATACTGGGAATGGGGTACTGGGAATGGGGGGACTGGGGAACACTGGGGATACTGAGAATAGGGGGACTGGGAGCACTGGGGATACTGGGATTGGGGGGACTGGGAGCACTGGGGACACTGGGAACGGGGGGACTGGGAACACTGGGGATACTGGGAATGGAGGAAATGGGGGGACTGGGAGCACTGGGGATACTGGGAACGGGGGGACTGGGAGCACTGGGGATACTGGGAATGGAGGAAATGGGAGCACTGGGGACACTGGGAACGGGGACACCCCCAAAATCTCAGCGCCTCCCCCCAGAACTCACCCAAATCAGCGTCGACCCCACGGAAACCCCACAGACAGCGGGGCCGCCCCACGGCGGCGCTTATAGCGGGCAGCGCCCCGCCCGCGGTGATTAGCGGTAATTAATTCGTTAATTAGCACGCAGCTGGGGGTGCTAATGAGCAGCGCCCCCCCCACCCCCGCGCTGCGTGACAGGTCACGCGTGGAAACATGGCTGGGGGTGGCCCCGTCCTGCGTGTGCGCGGGTGGCACCGCGCTCTGGGTGTCCCACCCGTGTCACCCCCGTGTCACCTCCGTGTCACCCGTGTCACCCCCGTGTCACCCGTGTCCCACCCGTGTCCCACCCGTGTCACCCGTGTTCCCCCGTGTCCCACCCGTGTC